CCCTGATTTTTCCTTACTGTGGCACAACTAGGATTATGAGCAAATAAGTCTTCAGGTTTGAGTGATTTCTTAATCCCTAATTAAACATACCTGTATTTTATATGGATAAGTATTGTCTGTTGTGAAAGTCTAATGATAAAATGCACTGGCTGTGATAGGAAGGGAGCATGAAGATGGACTGATAGACATTTTTCTCCTCTTTGATATTGTTTTCTTTATGCAGACTGTCTGATTTTAGTTGACTTTATTTTCTGTGTCAGGAAGATAGTTAGAAATAATATACATATATCAAAAAAAGAAAAATATATTTTTTTCTAGAAAGATTACTAGGATCTTCACAACTCTTAAAAATGCTGCTAGTAATATTGTAATCATATTTACAGTTGAGCAAAATTTTTCTATCATGCATTCAAACTTGTAACGTATGAATTATGCAGTTGACTTCAAAAACCATATCTGACCCAGCAAAAAAATTGCTAGATATTTTAAGTTTAGAAGTGCTCTTTGCCAGTGATTGCACTAGAATCATATTTTTAGTTCCATTATAGTGAGTTCTTCTTGCTTTTCTATTAACATTTGAATATAATGAATTTTGAGACTATCAGACAGGTACAAGGATATTAAAAGCAGGGTAGAGGGAATTATCTGAGTTCCTCATCCCTCATCATATTCTTTCCGATGTTGTCTGGCATGATCATTTGTCTTCCGACTCCGTGTTTATCCTGTTGCCCTACAGCACTGTTTCACAGAATATGAGTATAAATGAGAGAGTTCCAAGATAAAAAGCTGCCAGTACATCTGTTCTGATTTTTAAATGGCCTATCTGGTTTGAAATCACATATATTTTACAGTTCATTTGGAGAAAATTTTCTTTTATTTTTATCTCCCTATGTTCATAAAATAAAATAAAACTGATATTAAAACCTTAAAGAAGTATCTCTGAAAACAGAAAGGATTTTTTTAAGGCTATTCAAAACATTTTAGCAATATGTTGGACTGCTATGAAATGCAACAATTTATGGATTACTGTCCTGCTTGGACTAGGATGTCTGTGTGCTGTAAATACATACTAAATTAGGAGTATATGGATTTTTGACTGAAGAGAGTGTCCAGTTTAATTCATCATTTAGATATGGATTTTTTTCAATTGTACATGATTTAACTGATAAACCGTAATAACTTATTGAATCTTTGTTATGAACCAACAGACACTAAATTAACTAATTTAGTGTCACTATTTGATTTTAAGGTATGAGCTGCTGCAGACAAGTTAGAAGTTACCAGGGCTGCAAATATTGTCTTTTAAGCGGAAGTTATCTTCCATACCTTTGTTGGCACTATTTATAAGAGCTCAGAGAAATTTTTTTAAGATTGAAAAGCTATTTATCTTTTTTTTTTTTTTAATGTATAATAAATGGTCATGCCATGCACAGTCACTTTGTGATTAACATTTACTTCCATGCTTCTTGTGTCTATGGTTTAAACATTTCTTTTTAGACAGGATCTCATGAAATTCAATAAGATTTTGGGCTGGGTCTACATATGTAGCATTAAAACGTTGTATGTTCCAAATGTCACAAGTCAAATTTCATGTTCATCCACATTTCACTATATACATGTAGATGAGTTATTATTATGGGAGGTAGAGAACCCTTTCCAAATAAATAATTTTCTTGTGTTGTTTATAGTCAAAGCTATAAACTTGAAGCTTTTAAAATGTTTACCAGTGACGTAAATGGCTCAAGACTTCAATTTCTTCTCGCAAGTAAAAAATGTTAATCAATTTCTCAGGTTCATTAGGTAAAAACAATAATATTCTGTCTAGCTTCATCTGCTAAATGTGTTTAGATAAACTGAGAACATTGTAGGAGCATGTAATTGAAATAAGTATAAAGTATTTGTTCAATTTTGTCCTCTTTTCCAGAATCTAGCCTATATTATTTTAATCCACACATACATATATACACACATGCAAACCACTTTGTAAGTGTTCCTAATTATAATCATATAGTCTTTGCATAACAATTCTTCTGTATGTTAGTAGTAAGTACTTAGGTTGAAAGAGAAATGTGTTTTTGGTAATAAATCCTTAGTACAACAGACTGAAAAATCAATCTAATTTCTCCTCATGATCTGAAGAGGCAAGGGAGAAATGGCTAAAGGAGCAAGTGCCTTAAATTCATGGCTGCTATAGTGTTAAGGCAATCAAATGTGAAATATCAATATATCTGCACAGCATGAGTGACTTTATCGTGTTATTCTGATGAATAGTAGAAGTAGAAACTTTATAAAATGAAATGAACAATGCGTGAAAGAAAAAACACTAGCTGAACACAGATTAGTTATCGTGCTACAATGATATTAAATACCATCAGGCAAAGTAATGTCTTACTGTGTGTCCAATTTTAATGAAACAAATCAAAGATGGAACAAAATCAATTTAGTTTAATTAATTTTAAAGTATAAATGTCTCCATTTCTAGAAACTAGAGAGCGTTCATTCTTTATCTGTTACACAGACAAAAATGTGCCAAACTTATGTACACAGTTTTTCATAGGAATTTTACTTCTCTGTGTAGCCTCCTCTCCATCACTAAACTCTACAGATTTCTCTTACTAAGTCAGAGTATTAGGAGTCCATACTTCTTTTTGCATTGATTAACACACAAAATAACGGAAATGAGGAAAATCTGAATATACATTCAAATGAAATCATCTGAAACGTCTCTTATAGTACCTGAAAAGTTATCTTTCTGACTGTTTTTCATTCTGAAATGATGAGATTTCACGGGATATGGCAGTTTATTTATTGCATGACAATAAAGCATCAAGCACTCAATTTAATTTTTGAGTACTGTGGTATGGCTCTGTCTTCTTTTGGAATCTTACAAATTTCTGCCATAATAAAACCAGCAAATACTTAAATATATGTTATTGATTGGACCCAAGACTATATTACAGTATTAATGTTTGTTTTGAGCAATAGAATTAAATGTTGAGGTTTGACTGTAACTGAGAGGAACGACCTTCTCCCTCTCTCTGCATGCATGCATGTAGAATATAAAGTATCCACTAAACTATAATGGGGAGTAGTAGTATGACTACTATAGAGGGTTTTTATAAAGACATGAATTTCAAGTGTGTAGCAGTAAGATCCAACAGAGAAATACATTTATTTTGATATATATTCTATAAAGAGCAGTTGATGAAAAGCCTCTTCCCAACAGTAATGAAATAATAAACTTGTGTAACTTGCTTCTTCGTCTAAAAGTATGTGAGATAGAAGGTTTCCAATGATAAGACGTGCAATACAAACATTAATCTTAGGTACATTTATACCATCAGTAAACTTACTAACTCTTTGACTATTAATATGATTACAGTTATTTTTCTTAGATTGGTTTGCTTATATTTTCACTATTCAATACACAATACGTCAGGATATTGGACAGAGAATGACCCATACCTAGTAAGTGTAGAAACCAGTTTCATAAAGGCATTTAAAAAATGTATTTCATTATTCGTTGTAGGTGCACTGTGCACAGTATGAAATGTGAGTTGGTATATTTTCCATAGCAGTAGTGTACCAGTGCACACAAGAAATTTTTGTTCATTATTAATAGCATGATTGTAAATCAAGAGTTGCATGATGTTCTCCAGAAGTTGGCATATGGTGATTAATGCTCTATTACTCTTTATGGATTTGATAAAAAGTTACTCTTATTTGATAGATGGATGGATGGTGAATTTTATCTTAAGATGGGTTTGACTATGTCCTGGTTCATACATCTATCTGAAGAAATGCATGTAGTGGTAAAAGTCCATGGCTTTCTAATTATACTTCAGCTGTAGATGAAGACTGCTCAAAACAGAGTGCCTGAAAACAGACTGTTAGTTCCCTATTCCTATGTACAGAAGTTGAAAACTCCTAAAGATGAATTTTTGGAGGAAAAAAACGTACCTACCATGATTTGGAAATAAAATTTGTGAGATTGTTTAATGCATAATAGTGAATTTGTATTTGGAGGATATAGCTAGATTAATAACATTATGTAAAAATTTAACAGTTTTATTCAAAAACCTTAGTTTTTTTTTTTTTTCCTTCTTGTTTCACCTCCCTAACAAAGATAGCAAAAGTGAAGCCGTAAGATTTTGGATTTTCCTTTTGCTAGTTTGCTGATTGGTTCGTTGGTTGACAGACTATTTCTCTCTGGGGATTACAACTTTAAGAAAATGCCTAAATATGCTAACAGTGGCAATTACAAATGTGTTACATGTGCTGAGAAAAAGATCTGTCAAATTTTAAAACAATATAAGTTATGCAGCATTCTTTTTTAAAACAATATTTTAAAATTACAGTACTATTTTCAATGCAGTAGTACACTTTTTTAACTGAAGTATGTTGTTACAGTAAACAACAAAAATAAATTCTAAACTTACTCGATCGGTAAGATGTATAAAATTGGTGTGCTCCAGCATTTTTGCTTTTTTATTGCAGTAAAATCCCATCTATCTGTATATCTGTCTACCTATCTGTCTGTCTTCTATCTGAATATTTTTAAAAAAATTCCTGCCTAGTGGTTCCTTACACTTCACTTGCGTTAAATTCCTCTGATGCAATTTGTCAGCAAATATGTAGCATTGCTTCAGAGAGCTTTCAATGGGATGATAGACCTTTGACATCTGCTCAGTACGTGTTTTAGCTATTTTCAGTTTTTGCTGGTACAAAAAGTGTTTATTCTGATGTTTTCATGTTTTCAGATTGTTATAACAGACAATATCTGTTTTATACAATATCTGTATAACAGACAATTGTATATCTTCTGTATACAATTATGTGATTATAAGTGAACTGCCAATAAACTGTATTGTGTCAGTGGTTCAAGGTCTGTAGCTATATAAGATTTGACAGACATCAGCTTACTTGCATGAAATATAGCAATTCACCTGAAGAAAATGTCTGAGAATTTTGTCAACACTATTGATTTTTCTGTCAGATAGTCTATATGGGCTGGACAGAAGAAAGGGAACAAGACTCCCTTCAGGATCGAATGTACACACCAAAGTTTCTAGCGCTGAGGGGATCTTCTCTTTATAAATTTATAGCACCTCCAGTAAGTATATTTCTCATGTTTAGCAGGAATAAGTGTTATTAAATACAATTATTTCATGTAATGTTTGCAAGGCTTTCACACTGAGATATCACTCATTCAGCCGACAGTATTGCAGCTTGCTGCACTGAAAAGTGCCAGGGGATGTAGTATAGAAGTGACAGAAAATAACTATTCATCAGATGAGTCTGCACCTAACCAGCACTTCTTTACCCCTACTTACCAGAGGACTTAGAAGAAATACAGGAGAGCTCTACTTATGCTAAATGGGGAGCTTTTCATTTCTGTTCATCAGGGAGAAAAATCCTAAAGGAAGATGGCTGGATTTATACTGAACTATCATTTGAAAGACAAACTGCTGAGATTTTGGGAAATATCAAAGCTTTTTGCATGCTGTGGAAATGACAAGGCTTGCAGAGCAATATCTCTATCTTTAGATTTCATCATGAAAGTAGCTTTTTTGCAGCTTGGGAGCACCAGAAGGAAGGTAGGGAAGCAGATGGAATTGTTTAGGTTAAACATATTAACTGGAATTTGACAGGAAACACAGGGCAAAATTTTGTCTATTATCTCAGTCAGCAATGTATTTTCACACTTTTATGATACATCTCCACTGCAGTAAATGTAGGTATACTCTGGCTGGCCTTGAAGCCGGTGGCTAAGGAGCCAGTAGCAGTACAGTATTGGCAATAGAGAGAATAGTGTGGTTTCATTTATTCTGTTTATTGGGTGACTCTTCTGACTGCTGTTAAACCCTATTTTGCCAGGTCCAGACTGCAGTGCTTCCTGAGTGAGGTATTTCAAAGCTTGCTTGCAAGTTTTTACATCATTCTTCAGTCATCACATTTGTTTGGTTAGCAAAGCATCTAGGGACATGTTAAAGAATAGGAAGAATGGAATTAAGTATGAACTGAAAATTATGGTGTCAACCACCTTAATTTAAAAGTAACTATCTTGGCTTTGGCAGATCTACCTGAGCATTTGCTGCCTATTAGGTGAAGTAACCTCCTTTCTAGACACCAGATAAAAGCAGAAACAATTCTGAAAGGACCAGTTTAATACAAAAGAGGAAGTTTCTTTTTTTTTTAAACTCTGTAGAAGACAACTCCTTTACAGAGGATTCAGTCATAAATTATTAGAAGTAATATGCTGTAGGTAGTTGGGTGATCGTTACTGGGGATGGAAGGAACATGTTGTTAATAGTGCCGCAGGAGGGGTTCCAGACTGTGGTGATGTGATTTAGGACAACTCTGGGAGGCTGCTATGTATGAGGCAAGTCGTCGATGCTTGAAGTCTTTATAGGTCTTGTTTCGGCTGGACTGCAAACATAACATGATTTTTTTTGCCAGATTCTGGTTCTTATTCAAAGATAGCAAGGCAAAAATACTTTTGTCCATGCGGTAGGAGGGAAGAAGAATCCTTAAGGGATAAAAGGAAGAGAAGCTCCTATAGAGTTACCTTAAAAATGCATGTCATATAATACTTGCATGCTTATATGCCAAAGAAAATTATCCTTTTTTTCAAAGACTACAGTAGGTCTTTTAAAAGAACTTCTAAAATCATGCTTTCTGCATGGAAATTTTACAGATACAGTTATGTTTGCCGTTCTGCAGGAGTAAGGGTTCAGCTTTTCCAGAGATTATGAAAGGTTACAGACTAACTGTTTCAAGGCTGCAGTTTCAGAGCTTCTAGGTATGGTCTGTGTAAAATAATGTTGTAAGAATAAAAATTCTTTTAATTATATTTATAGTATAAATTCTTTAGATTAAGTTGTTTTCTGAACAGAGATGTGCTGCCAACTTTTTAACCAGCAAATGGAATAAAAGTATTTCCCTGGTCTCTGGCAAATTATAGCACATTAGAGGGGCATATGTTTAAACAGTGTATATTAGCGCCCTCTCCCCACTGCTCCTGTTTTTTTTTTTTTTTCTATTTGATCAATAATACTTCTTTGCATGCTCAGATACATAAGCAATTGCTTTGGAGCTAGGCCACTGTTCAATACTTTTTTACCATTAAGACTTCTTCTTCATTTGTAGTCTCGACTTTCAATCCATTTGGCTTATTCTTGTGTCTTCTGAGACTATGAATAATTCTCTTCTTTCCTTCTCATAGTTTCCTTAGAGTTATTTATAGATTGCTGTGATATCCCCTTGACTCTTCCCTGACTAAGTTCATCTATCCTTTTATTTCCTGTTTAAGTCTTAGCCTTTACCCTTTACCTTATCATTTTGTTGAATTCTTTATCATCTATATTATTTTTCTGTAAAAGTCACTTAAAAATAATGCTGTTAAAAGCAATTATCAAATCCTAAGACAAACAGGAAAAACAGAATATTCTTCCAAGCTTAGTTTATTGGAATTTAGGAGGAGATTCATGTTAGTAAGAGGAAAAAAAAAAGTAAATGTATGTAAATGTATATTGTTTCTCATTAGTTTTTTTTCTCTGAACAGCAAGCCCAGTGGACACTGATCAGTGTCCTACATATGAAACAGCATAATACAGAGTTGGAGACTTTGGTTTTATATTTTGGTACCTTTGCAAGTAATGTAGATAACTGGGCAGATTGTGACACACAGTTACAAGGAGAGGAGAAGGAAAAGCATGTCCTTTTGCAGTGCAGGCTCTGTCAGAGGAGTCCAAGAACTGCTTCCTCTGGGCATCTGAGTTCAAGCCCCCACCAGAGTGGACTGGAGGCTCCCAGGGGAAGCCTGGAGCAGCCTGTATGCAAAGCTACTGTGGGATGCACAAGGGGACAGACAGGACATGTCCTCAGCACTGCCTGAATGCAACAGTCCGGTCCCTGGTGGTTATTCCTCTAAGGCAGTGTTTGCTCCTTCTGCACACGTTATACAAAACATAAAGGGTAGAAAGTTTTATGGATAGATTCTTTTTAAATAAACTTTCTTTTTTAAAGAAAAATTACTTACTTCATTTTCTTTCTTTCTTTCTTTTTTTTTCCCCAAGGTCACAACCTGGGATTGGACACGAGCTGAGAAAACATTTTCAGTTTATGAGATAATGTGCAAAATTCTCAAGGTATGATGAAAAAATATAAAATAATTTACCATGTTGTGAGGCTAGTAGAGAAGCCAGAGCATAACACTGCAACTAGTAGTATGTGACTGCTTTGCAGAAAGAGATCAGATTTGATCCCTTTGAAGTCAATATCAGGAGTCCTGATATCAGTAGATAGAGGATCAAACACTGTAAGGAGTGTTTTCAAAAGGCATGGCAAAACTGGAAATAAACTAGTTTTAACTGGGTTACCATTCTTGCACATGGGAAACTATTTTATTTCTCCAAAATGCATTATATGTTTTTAACTGAAAAAGGATTTTAAAACTTTGCACTGATGTATTCAACTTGTGTAACATTTCTTTTTTCAAACTGAGCAGCTAAGAAAATAGGGATTGTTTCCACTTCCAAATGCACAGATGTAACTCACATTTGCTGCAATGTAAGACTGCACTTAGAGCAGAGTCCTTAAAATATGTAATACCATTCTGAAAACTTTTGTCTTATTTCTTCCAATTTCTTCAGTTTACTTTAACATTAATACGTTGGAAGAACTAATAAAATATGTTTACAGGTAAATCTGTGAGTAGCAAATTGAATAGAGCCATTATTACACATTGTATTTCATTTTTCATTCAAATTTAATTCAGAATTAATATGTATTGTCTTCTCTCTATTTTAAAAATAATGAAAAACAATTTTCCATATATACAGTGTTTCTCAGTCTAAAACTCGAG